TCTTTCCTGTAATAGGTCTTTCTGTGCCTCTTCTTTTGATGTAATTTACCCTATTCTGCCTCCCCCTTTTCTCTTCTCCGAGTCCAATCCTTTTTTTCACTCCTTAATTTTTTTATATCATCACATCAAAGTCAGCCTACACCCTCTGTCTATGTATATCCCTTGTAAGTGCCCTAATACAAATATAATTCTCAAGAATTACAAGTATCATCTTCCAGTGTAGAGATGTAAACAATTTAACCTTATTGAATATTGTCATTGTTGTTGTTCTTGTTGTTGTTTTCTTTCCTGTTTACTTCTTTATGCTTCTTTTGAGTCTTGTATTTGAAGACTGAATTTTCTATTCAGCTTTGGACTTTTCATCAGAAAAGTTTGAAAGTGCCCTATTTCATTCAGTGTCTATCTTTTCCCCTGAAAGATTATGCTGTTTTGCTGGGTAGTTGATTCTTAGTTGTAATCCAAGCTCCTTTGCCTTCCAGAACATCATATTCCAAGCCCTCCCATTCTTTAATGTAGAAGCTGCTAAGTCCTGTGTAGTTCTGACTGTGACTCCTTAATATCTGAATTTTTTTTTTCTAGTTGCTTGCAGTTTTTTCTCCCTGACCTGATAATTCTGGAATTCGGCTACAATATTCTTTGGAGTTTTTATTTTGGGATCTCTTTCAGGCAGTGATCAGTGGATTCTTTCAATGACTATTTTATCCTCTGGTTCTAGGATATCAGGGCAATTTTCCTTGATAATTTCTTGAAAGATGCTATCTAGGCTCTTTTTTTGATCATAGCTTTCAAATAGTCCAATAATTCTTAAATTATCTCACCTGGATCTGTTTTCAAGATCAGTTGTTTTTCCAGTGAGATATTTTACATTTTCTTCTATTTTTTCATTCTTCTGATTTTGTTTGATTGATTTTTGATGTCTCATAGTCATTAGCTTCCACTTGCCTAATTCTAATTTTTAAGGAATTATTTTCTTCTGTTAGCTTTTGTAGCTCCTTTTTCATTTGGCCAATTCTGCTTTTTAAGGAGTTGTTTTCTTCAATTTTTGTCCTTCTTTTTCTAAGCCATTGACTTTCTTGCATACCTCTCATTCTTTTCTCAATTTTTCTTCTATCTCTCTTATTTGACTTTTAAAATCCTTTTTAATCTCTTCCAAGAAGACTTTTTGGGCTTGACTCCAATTCATGTAGGCATTTTGACAATGCTGTCCTCTTCTGAATTTGTGTTTTAATCTTCCCTGTCACCATAATAGCTTTCTGTGGTCAAGGCTCTTTTTTGTTTCTTGCTCATTTTTTGCCTATTTCATGGCTTTTAAAGTTGAGCTTTGCTTCTGGGGCACAGGGAGCACTATCCTAACCTTCTTGTGCTGGGGGCCAGGGCCTGGTCACTGACTTGGGGCCAGTGCGCTGGGGCCTCAGGTGCTGGCAGCTTGCTTACTGAGCTGGAATGGCCCAGCCTACTTGCATCTATTGTTGCTTGGGTTCCAGAGCTGTCGGTTTGCCTTCTGCACTGGATCTGGAGGCCTCACAACTAGCCTGCTATGCCACTGTCCTCCTTAGCCAGAACAAGGGTCCTGGGTTGCTTATCTGTGCTTTGGCTAAGAGCCTCCCGCTGATTTGCCTAGACTACACCTACCCTGCGCTCCCCCTTTACCCAAATGAGACAGATTTTTCTTGAAGTCCTTCTAAGTTATCTTAAGCTGGAAAGTTGTTTCTTTCCATCTTTTTGTAGGTTCTGTCACTCCACAATCCATTTAGAGGTTTGATTAACATTGTTTCTGAGTGAAATTGGGGAGAATTCAGGCTGCTTCCTAGCTTCTCTTTGCCATCTTGGCTCCATCAGGCTAAATCCATTTTAGATTTCTTTGTCAGTCCCTTATCATTTTGAGCTTTATCTCTCCTGATATGAATCACAAAACCATTTTTTTTTTCACTCATTCACTGTTATGTGCACTTGCTTCCATCTTCCAAACATAGTTATTTTTGTGTTTGTTTTTAAATCTAGGTTGATCAGTGAGTTTCTTGTATCCACATCTGTCTCCTAAAAAAAACTCCCCTATTTTCCTTTAATAAGACTATTTTCTCTTCTTAATTCTCCAGAGTTCCCATTCTGTTGGGCCAAATTTTTTGGTAAAATTTTAATCCGTAAGATCATATTCATAACCTTCCTCTGAGTGCTTTAAATCTGTTCTGCCCAAATTGGGTGAATTCAGACTTTTGCCTGGCTTACTTGCCTCTTCTACCACAAATTCTAAAGTAGAATGTTCACTACCCAGCAAGGTTACTTTTATTTCCACTCTAGTATCCATTTCTTTGATGTTCATGTAAATCAGGTCCAGAATAGAAATTCCCCTCATTGGTTCCTCTATCATTTGAAGGATAAAATTAGTATTGTGCCAAGTCATGAAAATAGTAGTTGTTCTAGTTTTGGCAGAGAGAGGGCTCTAGCAGATGTCCAGATGATTGAAGTTCCCCATTCCTATTTTATGATGCCTCCATACAAGCTTATAATCTATTTCCTAAACTCATCATTTCTTTCTTTCTTTTTGTTCAAGTGGTCTGTTTTATAGTCTAATGACAATAACTTCCATTTTTTCTTCCATTGACCTTCATTCAAATAAGTTAAAATTTGCATTCTCGCATAAGGATTTCTAGATCATCACCCATTTTGCCATTTTTTTTACTCATTTGCTGTTATGTACACTTGGTTTAGAGCCATTTTTTGCAGGTATCTGAAGGGGTTTGGGGGAGAGCTCAAGCAAGTCACTGCTTTTATTCCGCCATCTTGGCTCTGCCCCTTGTTATGTGCACGTGGAAGGCACACTATGGAACTGTGTTTATTTAAGAATGGATAACTATGTTGTCTTTCCTGTTTGCCTTGTACATCCCTCAGTATCTGTCACAGAGCTTTTTACATAGTAAACAGTCAGTACATGTTGAAGTGAAGTTAAATCCCTCATGGTGCGACTTAAATTCATTAACTTTTATTCTTTAGTACAGAACAGCAGTTCTGCATTTTCTCTTTCCATAATGCCTATACCAATGCACAACTTCACCATCAGTGAACTGGTCACTAGTGGCAACTCTCTCATTTTATAGTGGAGGAAACTGAGGCTCAGGGCCTCTGCTACAAAATGAGGGTTTGACTGGGGAGCCTCTGAGGTTCCTTCCAGTTCTCAGGCTAGGATCCTGTGAAGACCGTGTGTGCACTTTCAGTTTTTAGCCTTTTGTTTCTTTTTCTATATTATTTATTTCTCATCCTGAAGTCAGTTATTGCTTTCCAGATTTTCCATATCCTGTTTACTTTGTGGAACCCAGAACAAAATCCCATAGTTATTCTAGTTAACACCTGAGTAACCCTGACTGAGCTCCAATTTAGCACACCTTTGTTAAGGGATGCTGTCTTGAAGCCAGTGTGCCAAGCACCAGGGGAATAGAAGTTAGTTAAGATATGGTCCCTGCCCTTCAGGAAGAAAATGAAGAGAAAACAAGATGTGTACAAAACTCATTATAATGCAGTAATAGGATATAAATATTCGTAAGACCTGTGATATGAGAAGTAAACCAAGGGAAGGGATCACTTTTGACTGAGGGGTTAAGGGAATGTAATAGGAGTCAAAGATAACTGAGGTTTGAGCATGGGTAGCTAGGAAGATGAAAACAGGAAGTCAAGGGGGAAAAAACAGGTTTTGGTTTTTTTAAAAATTAGGTCTACTTTGTACATGTTGAATTTGAGGTACCTATGGAATATCAATGTTAAATTGTCTAGAAAGCAGTTGAAGATACAGATCTGGAACTCAGAAAAGAGAGCTGTGCTAAAGATAACAGATTTGAGAATCACCTATAATAGAGCTAATAATTGAACCCTTACAAGATGAGATTAACAAAAGAGAAAACTTTGTTTGATATTATAACCTCCATCATTATTTGTTCCATAATCATTCCTCATTTTTCATTTGTCTATTTTTGCTCTTTTAGTATAACCTCCTCCATCCATAATTTCATTCTCAGTCTCTAACCAATTTCCCAAATTAACAGTGTTTTGAATTTTTTTTCTTGATTCCACAGGCTGTTAAGAACCTTTTCCAGCTTGGATCATGCTTCATTCCCATAGGGTTAATGAGAATGTTCAGAAACACTTAAAATAAAAGCACCACCTCACAGATTCTGCTTACACCATGCAGAAGTTGACCCAACCTCTTATATTGAATTAGTACATTATATTGAATAATAATAGCAACAAGATGTTTTGACCTTTTCTCCAAAACCTTAAAATCACCCATTCACCTTGCAACTAGATTTTACACATTGCTAGGCATTTATATCTACCTTTGCAAGGAAGCATCACTCCATCTAGCCTACTTGACTTTTGTCAAATAATGTTTTCTTATCCGCAATTTATAGAAAAGACAGCTGGACCAGAAGAGTTCAAGTTTACCCTAAAATTACATAACAAACAAGTGAACAAGTAGAAATTAAAATTCCCTTTGTATAATCCTTTTTCCAGTTTGCCATATTATTTCCTTAACAAGCATATTCTATGAGGGCTCAGCCACTAAAGTGTTCATACCTGAAATCATTTAAGTTCTTAAAGCATTTTATAAATGTGAATTTATTATTGTTGTTGTTGCCTTAAAGCAATGACAACCTTCCATTTTTTTTCTTCTTCATTTGGTGGTTCTTTGAAAATACCTACCAAATTGCCTTATTTAGATTCACTTTTTACAAGTGAATTTTTTTCAAAGTATTACACATGTGTAATGAAGTATTAGAGCTTTTTTTCACAATTATGTTAGGGATTTGAAGTTTCCAAAGTTACCCATATCTCTTTTGGGTTTTAAGAGCTTTGCTTTTTTTTTTTTTTATTTCTGGTGCCCTGGCACCTGGCACCTGGCACCTTTATGGTATACCTCCCTTTCTCAAAGGCCATCACAAGTGGCTTAGAATTTCAGATTGTATTCATCCCTCATACCTACAGCACAGTTTTTTTTTAATCTGTTTCAGAAAACAGCCAAGCAAGCCAGCTACACGTGCCACTTCCAAACTTGGCAGCCCAGAAACATTTTCTCCTAGAAATCGCCAAAAATTAGCAAAAGAGAAGTTGTCCACCAGGGAAAAAGTTAGTAAATCTCCCCCATTAGGAAGGTAAGTCTTTACTTGCATTTAAGTCACTTTAAGTCCCCCAAAAAAGTTGTTGTTTTTTTCCTACAGTAATGTTTCCTTTATTTAAGTTACTGTCCTCACAAATATTTTATCAGCTGCCTTTTGTCATTACTGATTTCCAGTAGAGAAGAGAAAGGGGTTAGAAAAGATCATATTTATTACCTACCTCACAAAGAAAGACTCACCAAATTAGCTCTTGGACTGTTTCATCAGTGTTACTTGAGAGCCTTATTCTCAGGATTAAATGACACAGGACAAGGAAGTTACTCTGCCAGCAGTGAAGAAGTGGTGTTGTCATCAACACACTCCTCTCAGCTGAACATATACAGTGTTCCAAGTAAGTAGCAGAGAGTTCTGGAAGCAGAGAGGTTGTCCAGCATGAATGTGCTAATTGCTAAAGCCTACCAGCTTCATTTAAGGTACCCAAGATAAGATATGCAGGCAACAGTGAAAAAATCTCAGGCTTAACCTAAAGAAGCAGTTAAACATCAGGCTTAGATGGTTACACATGCTAATTTCATGAAATAAAGTTACACGACAGAAATTGTCTCAGCATCAGTCAGCCTAGCATATAGTGTGATAGTATAGAGGACCATGGACACATAACTTAGGAACATGGTATGTATAGCGTATGGCACTCAGAAATGGACTTGCACTCCTTAGCATTAGACAAGCTTGTGAAACAAGGAAACAACCATTTCTGTTAGCTAATGTCCTGTCTAAAGGACATCCTCTGCTTCCCTCAGAGGGCCCTGTCCCCCCTCCTTGATACCAAACTCATTCCTGCTTTGCTCACTTCTTCTGCTTGCTTATATTCAGCTGACAGTAGCTCACACTTCACTAGCTCTTTAAAGTTTACAAATCATTTTTTTCAAAACAGTTATTTAAATAGGAAACGTGTCTCTTGTCTACTTTTTACAAATGAGACTGAAGCTTAACGACTATTATTAATGTAGTCATGTTTACACAACACGTTGAGGTTTGGCTGAGCACTTCATATATACTATTTCACTTGGTGTTTACAGCAATCCTAAGAGCTAGCTGCTACAGGTATTATTATCCGTCTTTTACAGATTAGAACCTCTGGCTTAGAGAGGTTAAATGACTTTCCTATAGTGACATAGCTCATAAGTATTAGCAACCAGATATGAACCCAAGTCTCATCCCTGACAACATACCCCTTTAACTGAGTATACACCAAGGCTCCCTCCCAGGCCCTCTTCTATCTCTGTGCTCTCGCTCAGTAACCTCATCAGTTCCCATAGATTTAATTATCATCCAAGCAAGTGAGTCTCTGATAGATAGATCCCTAATCTCTGCCCTGAACTCATCACCTCACATGGGTTTTTTATCACTATATGGCTGGCATTATATCTAATACATTAAATATCCTTAATCTTTCCTGCTACAGTCCTATATCATTACTATCTGTTGGACCTTTCTAATTAGATGACTTTTAGGCATCTCAGACTCAACATGTCCCAAAAAAGAATGTTTTTTTCAGAATCCCTCCTCTCTCCAGACCTTCCTATTTCTCTTGAGGACACAACTATTTTTCTAATCACACAAGTTTGAAACCTCAGTCTTCCTGGATTCTTCAAACTCCCTCTCCCTTCATATCCAATCAAATGCCAAATCTTGTCAGTTCTGCCTCCACACCATTTTCTCTGTACTCCAGGAAGCTACAACCTTAGTTCAGGGTCTCATTCCTTCTCTCCCATAGTAACTTCCTCACTGCTCTCCCTGACTCAAGTCTTTCTACTCTCCAATTCACATTGAGAGTCAAACACAGACTCTTGTGTTTTGAGTTGAAAGGTTTACTACCTGGTTCCAACCTCTCTTTCTAGCTTTCTTCCACATTCTTCTTTTCACATGCTGTGTGGCTAATCCCCCAAGCCTTTGTGCTGTCCGATATCCTGTGTCCGTGGCCTTACACAGGCCTGGAATACTCTCCCCCTTATCATCACCTTGTCAACACCCAAGGACCACCTTCCACATGAAACTTTTCCTGATCCCCCAACTGTTAGTCTCTCTCTCTACTCCCCTCAAAAAATACCTTATAATTTATTGGGCAATATTTATAAATACTAATACATAAACTCCATGAGGGCAAAACTGACTTACATATGAATTTATACCCCTACTACCTGCTACAGTGCCCAGCACCCAGTGGACATCGAATCCTTGTTGTTTGATTAACAAGAGTTTTCTAGAAATGTAATGAGCTACTTACTAAAATATTAAGTCCCATGTCCCTGGAATTGAGGTGAAAACTGGATGGCTATGTGCCAGATAGGTTTTTTTTTTGTTTGTTTGTTTGTTTGTTTGTTTTGGTTTTTTGGTTAAGCAGCAGGGTTAAGTGACTTGCCCAGGGTCACACAGCCAGTAAGTGTAATGTGTCTGAGCCCGGATTTGAACTCGGGTCCTCCTGAATGCAGGCTGGTGCTCTATCCACTGTGCCACCTAGCTGCCCTCAGATAGTTTTTTAAGGAGATGTGTGAATTGGACTAGCACACATTTAACTCTGAGTCTATAATTCCTTATAACACCTGGCACTGTTTTCACTTCTGGTAAAAGATTTTGCTCACCTTGTCTTTTTTCTTTTTTTTTAATTTTTTTAAGTAACAAAAATCTATTTTCTCTCTCTCATCACCCCCCAGAAAAAAAAAAGAAAAGAAAAATACCTTCTAATAACTATACATAGTAAGTAGAACAAATTCCCACATTGACCATGTTTTTAAATATATACATATGTGTGTGTGTATATATATCTATATATATATAGATATATATAGATATAGATATATACACATATATATATATATATATATCAGTCTACACACAGACTCTGGCACCTACCTCTATCAAGAGGTAGATTAGATGTTTAATCATGAGGCCTCTGGAACTGAGCTGCCTCCTTCTTGGTGGTTATACGTGCATCTGGTCTGTCACTGTTGTTTCCCAGAGCCCACAGACATATCACGTTGTTTGTAGTTATGCTTTAGTAGTACATCTTTAAAACATTTCTTCATCTGACTAGATTTGTAACCATGCCACTTCTGCTTGAGTTCTGCAGATAGATATTTACTGGGTGTTTCTGTGTGTCCAGCACAGCATTCACAAAACAGCAGCTGCTGACAGACTGGTTATTTTAAATGTACCTTCCACCTGGAACTTTTCCCCTTATTAAGAACTCACTTCAAGTCATGTAAAGGAAGGGGCATCTATTAAGCTCTTATTCTGTGCTGACCATTGAAGTTTTCCAACCAATTGTTCCTCACCCAGTCCTGTCCCAACTTTTGGCAGGTAAGGAAGCAGAGGTTCAGACAGGGTGAAGGGACTTGTCTAAGGTCACCAAGTTAGCTATGAGACTCTAGGCTTCCTCACTGCTGCCCAAAGGATCTTTAGACTGTTAATTTTTTCAGTTTAATTCAGTACACACTTACATATTCACCACTTATTATTAAGCGTAATAGGTGTGATAGGTACTGTGATAGATACTAAGGATACAGAAGTGAAAAGCCAGAGTCTCTAGCTTCAAGGAGCATTCAGTTCACTAGAATAATCAAACATGTACAAAGATAAGTTTAATAATACCAGATAGAATGTGACAGAGACAAAGAAAAGTACAAGGTAAGACTATTTCATCTGGGAGGATCTGGAAAGGCTTCATGGAAGAGACAATACTTGAGCTGATTCTTGAAGAAAGATTCTTTAATGCCCCATTCAGACATGAGGAGGGCTTATTTCCTAGACCTTATGAACATCCTATGTGAATTTATAAAGGTAGGAAAGACCTCGATAAAATCAGAGGACAATTTTGTGAGAAACATAGATTTTATGAAGGCAGATAACAAAATTGTGCTGTAAAGGCAGGGTAGAGCCAGATTGTGTAGGGCCATAAATGCTAAGCTCACAAGTTTGTCTTTTAACATATAAACATTTATTCTAAAAGCTTTTCAGTAGAGGAATAACATGTAAGAAGTTCACATGAAGAAGATTCTATATTAACTCCTGGGTTGTTTGTTGTTGTTTGTCCTTTATTCTCAAAGAGAACTAGTGACACCAGGAGGGTAATGTCTTGGCTTACAAGTGAATTGGATTTAAGTGAGGCAGGGCTGTGTAAAGTCGTCAATGTCCAGTGGCAAGACATGGGTCAGGACGACTGGCAGTAGCCCCAGATGCAGTGGGAGACCCTGGCCTTTTTAAACTACAGTCTTTCTCAGTTTATCTGAGGCAACACCCATTTAGTGACTAAAGCTTAGGCAAGAATTGAGGCAAACCTAGTTTGGCTTCCCAAAAGAATCAGTCTAAGAGGGGAAGACTCTCAGAGTTTGCTCCTTGGTAAAGAATGGAATAAACAGAGAGAAAGACTAAGTAAAGAAAGGGGATTATTACAACAGACCAGACGGGAGATGATAAGATCCTAGACTAAACTAGTGGCAGTGTGAATGGTGAAAATATTGTTGCATTAGAGATATGTTAGAAAAGTAGGATCAATAGAGCATGACAGCTCATTGACTGGGATGAATAGATACCAGAGGCAGAGTTGATTCTGAAGTTTCAAGCCTGGGTGACTGGAAAGGTCATACCATCACCAGAAACAGGGAAATTGGAAGGTGGAACAGTTTTACTGAGGAAGATGATTTTCATTTTGGACATAATAAGTCCACTTAGAAATATCCAACAGGCAGTGAGAGACTGAATCTCCAGGGAAAGAGGACTTTATGGCTTTAAAATACATCTCACAATAGAGGTGACATTTAAAACCACGGAATAGGTGAAGTCCCCAGGGCAAAAACAATGTAGAGAGAGACTGAAAAAAGGGTCAAGGATGGAATATTTGTTGATTGCCATATTTATGTGGTCAGAGAATGAACCACCAAAGGAGACTGCAGGGATTGATCAGACAGGTAGGAAGAGAATCTGCACAGAGCAATGTAATAGAAGCCATGATAAAAAAGAAAAAGATTATCAGTAGAGCTGGATGTAGTCAGCTGCATCAGATGCTATATTGAGGACACTGTATCTAAAAGGATGATAAAAAATGACATTTGATTTAGCAATAGATCATTGGTGATCAGTATTGTTATTTCCCAAGGACAATCCAGTTTCCCTATTATATACAGATACAATGCTAGTCTCTATTTATAAGATGACAGAATTTTCCTCAAGTTGTTCACATTCTACTAGTAGGATAGAATATGTAAACAGATAATTATAACATGAAAATTTAAGAATGAGGAACAAAGCACTAACAACTGAGGAGATCAAGAAAGCTTTCCAGGAGGAGGTAGGACATAAGCTGAGCCTTGAAGGAAGCAAGGGATTCTAAAGGACAGAGGTCAAACAGTTGATGAAAACATTTCCCTGTTCTTGATAGAAAGATTGGCAATATCCATCAGATTAGGTCACTGTTGATAGTTTTGTTTAACTTTTTTATTATTACATGACTTGGCTCTATTGGAAGCAGGGTAGGAAGTTATGTCAGGAAAAAAATAAAGGGCATCAATAACTTTTTTTATAAGTTAGTGATGTGGCCCCTTTTTTCTTTAGCTTTGCCTTTTGGGACCTATTCTTGAAAACCCCCAAGTGCAAGTGGCCTATTTTTTTCCCCTAAAAAAGGCCATTATTCACCTTTGAAAGGGGATGGAAGTGTGAGTGGTCATAAGGAAATGGAGGCAGTGAGCAATTGCTCTTTCCATGTGTCATCATCATCACTATGAGATCATACTTGAGAGGAGTGATTGCCTCAGTTTTATATCTGTGTCCCCTTTTCTTAGCACGCTGCTTTGCATATAGTAAGCACTTGATAAATGCTTTTCTATTCATCCATTCCCCATTTTCATGTCTTTGCCCAGGCTTTCCCCATGCCTGGAATGCCCTCCCTCTCTACTTCTCCCTCTTGGAATCCCAGGGTTTCTTCAAAATTTCAGCCCAGGCACATCCTGCACAAGGCCTTTCCTAGTTACTCCAGATGCTAGTGCTTTCCTTGAGTGTACACACTCCAGTTTCCCTGTTACCTTCTCTGTGTCTATACATATTATCTCCCTGTTATAGAGACACTCACTTTTTTTCTTTGTATTCCCAGTGCCTGCCTCGTACACAGCAGGCACTCAATATTTGTCAATGACAGAGTTAGTGACTCCCATTTTCACTCAGTCTCACCCACAATATAGTCATATTCCTCAGTGAATCAGTGACTTTTACTAATTAATTGCCTGGTGAGTTCATCTGCCATTATCCAAATTTTCTCCAGGAATACTGCATTTTTGTAAACGTTGTAACATAAATATAGCCAAGTTCCAAGATTTAGTGCTCAGTGAACCTGCATATCATATTGATGTGTCTTTTAGGTGGCAGTATTCACGAATAGATAAAAAGGCACTTAGTGACCACTTATACTGTACAACGAACTGTCCTAAGTATACAAATACAAAAGCAAAGCAGTCTCTACTAGCCTCAGAGAGTTTATAGTCATGTGGGAACTAATAAGTGGTCTCCAGAGAGAGAGATTTTGGTTTGGAAAGTCACAGGATGGTGAATGGAGCCATAGGGAAACAGTTACATACTCATGTTGTGTTTCCAGAGCTGGAAGGGAGCAGAGAGTAGGGGAGAGAGGAAGTTAGAGAAAAGGCCAGGGTATAGAGTGAAGGGTGGCTGACGACAGCCTAGACATGGGCCATGAGAGGCATTCACCAGCCAGAATATTTTGGAGCTGAAAGGATTCAACTTTCCATGCTGTGGTCTCCAGGCCGAAGACTAGCAGCAGTAGGAGGAAAGGGAGGAGATGACAGAGATGTGGGAAGCTGTTCAAGAAGCCAGACAGCCATGTGTGACGGTGTCCAGGTCTGACTGGCTTGCCCCTTTTACCTCTAACAGTCTTCTCTTTGATATGGAGCAAAGTTCATACTGATGCCATTTTTTTTCCCAGAAAAAAAAAAAAGTGATTCTGGTTTTGTCTCATTTTTATTTCATCAGTTAGAGGTCAACAGTGATCAGTTTGTAGTCTGTATAGCAAAATTCAGTGATATCTTTTAGTTCTTTATTACCTCTGACAGTCTAGATTTTCCTTTAGGATGCCTGATATGGAACCTTAGTCTTCTCAGCAGCATTTGCCTTACAGTACAGAAATTCATAGCACTAAACTCATTATAAGTCATCAGTCTGCTGATTCAGTCCTGTAGCTAAAACATTGCCTCCTATACAAGGAGGCCTTTCCTAATTTCCCCCACCTCATCTCCAGCTGTTAGTACCTCTCCCCAGAAGTCACCTTGAATTTATTTTGTGTATATTTGTATGTATGTCGTGTTGAATGGAAGGTCCTTGATGATAGGAACTGTTTGATTTTTGTTTTATATCCCCAGCCCTGAGCCTGGTGTTCAATAAATGCTTAACTTGATTAAATAATATTAAATTAATGTTGATTCTACCCTGTAACACTGTTAGGAGCTGAAGGAGAGAGAGAAAATCACACAAGCCCCAGCACTCCAGGCCCATAAACCTTAAAGAATCCAACCCTTTGATTTTATAACTGAGGAAAACTGAAGCCCAGAGAGGTTAAGGGACATATATCCAAAGTAACACAGCTAGTTGGTGACAGAACCTGGACTAGAACTTGAATAAAATTTGCAAATATTGTATCCTGACAAATGTCAGACTCCAAAAGTTGTTTTCCATACATTCTCACATTGTTTCAGATACTTACCTTTGACTTTCTTTAGAGTTTTCTACTTAACAACTTAAGTGACCTTGGGCAAGTGGCTTTCTCTTTCTGTGCATCAGTTTCTCTCCCTGTAAAATGAGGATGTTGTTCTCCTTGATCACTTAAGACTCCTTTCAGCTCTAAATCCTTGATCCTCTCTATAATGCAGATCGAAAGCACAGCTTTCCCCTCCTGCCAAGCGCAAGAGAGAGGCCAGCCCACCAGTGGTCCGAACAAGAGGTCAGCAGAAAGTGGAAGAAGCACCAGGGAAAAAAGCAAAACGGTCATACTGAGCATTTTCTCTCCTGGTTTGAAAAAGTGGTAAGAGAGGCACTTCTCAAGGCATCCACTTTTTCAAAAGGAAGAAGACACACATGTGCTGTACATTACCAGATGCAAGCTTTGTCTTATTATGTTTTGAACAGCTTTACAAAACTCTTGTTTATAGGAGATATGTACATTTATTTCAGATAAAGGAAAATAAGTTTACTTTGTATCTGAAGTTAAAACAAAGTAGTTGTATATTTTAACATTCAAAGTTGGGATTTCCCAATGTGACAGACATCGCAAATGCAAAAGCTTCCAACCCACCCGGCACCTGGCTGCCTCCTGATAATCTTTGTACAGTATATAAACATGTAAAAATAGGTTGTATTTTACTCTATGTATGATGCTACTCAATGATGAACACTTTATTTATTTTACAGAGAAGACTTATCTGTGAACTTTACTATATATCTCTGTTTATTTTTATTTTATTCTTTTTTTTTTTTTAATAAAAACAGGTTTTAAATGCTATGCACTCATCAGTAGGAATTGTTTCAGGCCTCTGCCCTGAACTTACCTGAATATAGTGTGGCAGGAGGTAAAGAATTATTTCGCATGTATTCAAGTAAGTAGATTAGTTAAAGAAAGGGACTCAGTTGTTTTTCTGTTCACAGTTGTGACTATGTTAAAGGAACTGTAACTTGTTTTTAAAATACATTCACATATGTGACTTTATTATTAACCTAAATGAAGTAAAAATAGTTCTAGTTTAGGAAAATTCATGCCATCTTCAGTGGAAATTTTTCCAGTTGAGATTCAACCCAACTACTCTGTGTTGTTTCGAAGCTTACCTTATTCTTTCAGTATTTGTCCTTTTCGATGAAGAGAGATCCATTGAAGATGAAAAAAACATTTCTTCTTATATCTATAGAGTTTGGCATTTTATGTTCTGTTTTATACACAGGTATTTCAGAATAAAACCTGGTCTTATGGCCAGAGCCTTTTTTTAACATGTTTTAACTCCCATAAGAACAAACTGTCCAAGCTAAGTTTTTCATAAGATTAAACTTTTCTTAAGATCAAATTTGTCTCTTGCAATGATGTAATAAGTTGCCAAATAATCTGAGATTATTTTACAATGTTGTGTTCATATTCTTATGTTTTATAATTAAAATTTACATTCTGTGTGGGTTTTTTTTTTTATTCTTATGTAAGGTGGATATTTCTGTCATTTTACATGGTTTCTTACTGAGATTTTATATATATAAATTATAAAATGTTTCCCAAACCTTGAGTTGTAAGATATTTTCTGTTTTTAAATTCCTCTGATGACTCCCAGTGAGATGTTTTCTCTTTGGATAGCTGTTAGGTCATACAGTGACAGTACAGCCCTAATGTAACAAACATAAGCTAAAAAAAGTTTTTTTCCCCTATGACAAAATATTTGACTGAAACTCCATAGAATTTGTAGAGCTAGAAGGGACTTTAAGCATCATTTAGTGCAACCCCTTGATTCTCTGAAAGGAAATGTGAGATAAGAATATACACAAGAATGCTTTGTAGAACACCACAATAATTAAGAGACGTCTTTAAGAATACTTTACTTTCAGTCTACTTCACCTGTCTGGATGTATCACAGAATCCTAACATATTTTAAAATATGTACTGTTTTTATGAGTTTTCCACAAAAACCGCTGAAAGAAATTTTTCTTTATAAATTACCTTTTTTTAGGTCCTCAAATACATTACTATAAGCACCCTTGCTTTGCCTTGAAAATAAACTGCTACATTGGCAGCTCCCTGGTCATTTTCTGTATGCACAGAAAAGAGTCAAGTAGAAGTAAGTAGAATTTAAAACATTTAGAGAACTGAGCTCTCAAGCAGATCTGCTTCCTTCTGCTACAGCACTATAAAAGAGAGCCTGTAAGAATCAGAATCTGCAGCTCCTTCATTTTTATAGGTGGTGATACTGAAGGCAGTGAGTTGTCCAAGGTAGCAGAGCTGATTGGTTACTGAGCCAGGACTAGGACTTGATATCCTGACTTAAAATTCAATATTCTTTCCAACATGTCACACAGGAGAGAAGCAGGAATGTGTCTCTTAGAGGTAGTGGCCTACCCAGGGACACACATTGATGGGTGGCAAATGCCTGCTTGGCCAACTCTATACAAAAATGAGCATTTCCAGGCTGTCCGACCCTAAATTAATATATTGCTGGAATAAAAATACATCCACACATTTCCAAGTTAACTCTACAGTTTATTACTAATATACAAGCCATTGGTGGAAAATTCAGAAATATAGAAGGACTGCATCAATCAGCTCAACTTCCCATACCCATTTGTACCTACCCATCTAGTTTCTCAGCAGTTATAATCACTAAAAGGCAAAGACCCGCTTGTGGTATTTCTAAGTAAAATTTGTTTGGCTATTTGTTGGTCTTGTTTTTATGTTTAAATACTTTTTTCCCCAACTATTATAAATGTCTACACTAGTTGACTTATAAAAAATTATAATGAATTAGACCAAGGATACAGAAGAGGAAGAGAGGTTTACATTATTTATTTACAGGCATTTATGTGATCTGAGAAATATGATCGGAAAAACCATTTTGTTTTGTTTTTATTTTTTATTAATACTTTACGGACCAGCCTAAAATTTCAGTGGGCAGATGTTAGATATTTTTCCAAAAAAAGATTATAGTTTCCAAATCTCATCAAGGTATAATTCGAAATGCCTCACTCCAAATGTAATTGCTCTTAACCATTCAATTATCATTACAAAATGAGATGCTTTCCCCATGCCCACCAAGAGATTGTATATGAAAATCTTCCTCTCCCTTCTTAGCACTTCTTAGTAATGTAGTCTGCTCTCCAAACAAAAGCAACCATTTAAAGCACCTTAAATCTTTACATTAAGTTTGATCCACTGATTGCAACTTTATTAAAATAAATTTTGCCTATAAAATAAGGTGATTTATAACTTGTGTTAGGGGTTTATTTTCTTTTTATCACCATCATATTTTACATTAAAAAATAGTTTTAAACTAAGGGGGGAAAAATCAAGAGACTTGTACCAGATCAAAAGTTTTAGCCTACAGAAAAAGGACTGAATATTTAATTCTGAGGTCCAGGAATCATTTTCATTTTTAGAAAAACATTGTTCCACATGGCAGGAAAATGTTTATGCTATTGTAATGGATAGTATTATAAAATCCATTCTCAACAAAGATATAAAATATGTTATCAGATACGTGGATGATTCTAAATGTGACAAAACCAGCAGGCACATTGATATTGCTTCTTTCCTTGAAATGTTAGGTCATTTATGAAGCAATAAAGTCCATAGTGTAATAAGATATTTGCTAATGTAAAAAAGTATGCGTTATTATCAAGATAAAGGTTAAGATTCTTCAGCATTGCAAAGGTCATCTTTCTTGGAGTGTTCTCCATTACCTCATCTCTCAATACTAACCTAGGCCATCACAGTGATTATACTTTCCTCCCATCCCTAATTTGACCTCTGGGTGAATTAATTTAACTCTACTATCCTCTGCTTTCATTTCCCTTGCCCTCTTTTCCTGACTCCAATCGTGTCTTCTAAATCCCATCCTAAACTTTCTAAACCATCCTATGCTTCCTTCACTCCTTTTCATGCTGCTGAACAGAACTGGAGGCAATCATGAAACTCTCCTGACTGGCTGTGAGTTTATACTAATTAATGTTACTCGGTCCCTCACTACTGCAAGGCAATCCTGCCGCTCCAGATTTTCTTATCTCACCAGAGCAGCTGTTCTTAACCTTTTCTTCTCTTTTCAAGCGTCTCATGACACTTCCCATCTCCCACCCCATACTTCACTGAAAAAACTGAGACCATTCACCAAGTGCTCCCTCTTCCTCTAGGTGCCGCAGGAATAGAATGCTGGAGCTAGAGTTCGGAAAACCTACGTTCAAATTCTTCAGACACTAGTTGTGTGACCCTGGGCAAGTCATTTAACCTGTTTGCCTCCTTTGCCTTTAAGACAAAGATGATAATACCACCTACCTCCCAGGGCTATTGTGAGGATCAAATGAGATGATATTTGTAATACTTTTTGCAAGCCTTTAAGTTCTACATAAACACTAGCTATTATATCCTGATACTGCCCTCCATGAACTTCTTCAAAGCAGTTTCTGATGATGAAGTGGCCGTCCTTGCTAAAGCCAAGTCATCTATATGCTTCTTTGATCCCATCCCTCACCTCTCCAAAAGCACTGTCATCCCCACTGTCTGTAATCTGCCATCTCCTTATCTACTGACTCCTTCCCTGCTTTCCACAAACATGCTCTGGTCTCCCACGTGTTTAACCCTCACTTGATCATACATACCATTCTACCTGCTATCATTCTCTCTCTCCTCTTCTCAGCTAAACTCCTTGAGAAAGATATCTACAATCTACACCATGCTTCCCCTTCCTCTCTTCAAAACCCTCTGTGATATAGCTTCCTACCTACATCATCATTCAACTGAAGGAGTTCTCTTCAAAGTTTGCAATTATCTCATCACCAAATTTAATCAGTTCTCATCCTTTTTGACCTCTCTGCAGGATTTAACACTATTGATCACCCTCTCCTACATAGGTCAGTTTTCCTTTTTTGGGTTTTCATGACTGCTTTACCTGGATTCTCTTACCTGTCTGACCATTCTTCAGTTTTTCGCGAGATTATCATCTATGTCATGCCCACTAAGTGAGTTTTTCCCAAAACCCTCTTTCCTTTCTGTACTATCTCAGGTCATGATTTCATCAGTTCCCATGGATTCAGTTATCTTTATGCAGATGATTCCCAGATCTGTTTATCTAGCCCTCGTCTCACATAAACATCTTTCTGCTGGATATAAATGAGAGGTATCTATAGGTATCCATAGGTATCCAAAGGTATATTAGGTATCCATATCCATAGGTATCCAAAGGTATATAATAGGTAAATCCATAGGTATCTCAAATTCAGCATTTCTAAAATAACTTACTATCTTTGATGTCCCCAAAACCTTCCCTTCTTCCAAATTTCCTTATTTACATCTAATATGCCACCATTCTTCCAGTCACTCAGGTTAGGATTCTCAGCTTCATCCTCACCTCTTCACTTTCATCTGGAATATCAAATCATTTGCCAAATTGTGTCATTTCTTTCTCTACAACATCTTCCCCATACATCCTCTTTTCTTTATTCACACAGCCATCATCCTAATTCAGATCTCATAACCTCTTGCCCAGACTATCATTTCCTAATTGGTTTCCCTTCCTCCCTCTCCACTCATCTGCTAAAATGGTTTTCCTAAAGTGTAAGTCTAATATCACTCCCCTACTCAATAAATTCCAATGGCTCTCTTTTACCACTAGAATCAAATAGAAAGATGCAACAAAGCACTGGTATTTAAAGCTCTCTATAACCTGACTTCTTAATTTTCCAGGCTTCTTACATTTTACTTCTCTTCATGCACTTTAATCCAGTGACACTAGCCTCCTTGTTCTATCTCCCTTCTCCATGCCCTTGCACTGACTGATCTGAATGCCTACAATGCTTTCCCTCCTCACCTTCACCTTTTAGTTTTAGTTAGGCTTCAAGACAACTCTAATCCCTTCTGCAAGAAGTCTGCCTCACCCTCACCCCCAGCTTCTAATGCCGTCCCCTCTAAGAGGATCTTTTGTCTTCCCTATTGGAATGTTAGTTTCCTGAGGGGGGGGACTATTTTGTTTCTCCCACTCCTATCCTCAGCACTTAGCACAGTGTCTGCTAAGTAACTGATAAATGCTTGTTGATTGATTGGAGTTAATCTTTATTTTAGCACTGCTGAACCACTGCTTTTTTCTTCTTCAGTTATTATAGCACATGGCCTTTGTTGATTTGCCTAGCCAGATGAGCTGCTCAATTAGATAATACCTGTAAAGTGCTTGGCACACGGTAGGAGTTTGATAAATGTTTGTCCTCACTCCCCCCCCACCCCCACTCAATTCTGTTATATATGCCTCATTATTTGAAGGACTCAAATATGGAGTTCATATTGGACACTACATTTATTTCCTCTCTTTAAGCCCTACAGCTTCTCCATCTGAATTTATATTTAGGCCTTAAAGGTTAAAACAAACATATAGCCATTTTCAGTGTGCTTGAGGGAAACAGCAAAATAATGCACATTTAAATAG